AAAACCATGTCATTTGCTATCATCAACATGCAAGACTAGCAACTACAGGGCAACAGCAGATACTGCAGCAGAAATTAGGTGCGGTCAGTTCTGCTCTCAAAGGATAAAAAATGATTTGCCTTTTATTTATTCCTCCAAAGAGAGTTCAAGAAGGAGGACACAAAAGACCACAGTGTAGTGGATGGGCGCACTGTACGATTGGAGGAGCAGAATAGGCAAGTACTGCTAAAGAAAGGGGTGTCTGTAAGCAGAGGACCTGGCTGTTTTCCAAGGCTGTGCATGGAAGAGAAGACTAGGAAGGCCAGGCAGAAGTTGAATTGCCTTTCCATGTAAGCACAGGGCTTGTTTAAATGTAACATCCCTCTTACCGCAACCAAGACTGAAAACTCTCGTTTTAAAGATGCCATTCCCTTCCATCACAAGAATTCTGTGAACCCAGAACAACTAGACCAATGTTTGTTTTTTTGCCAGGCATTAAGAGTAGGAATAACAATGCAAAGAACCCATACTCATGCGAGAACAAACCGTACACCCTCCTCCCCCTCTGCAATTTAGCACTTTCACACTAGCTGCATGCAACAACTCTTTGGGGTATCTGAACATGAGGTATTTGACATCAAGATGGCAGGAGTTCCCAGAGATAAAATTAGCTTAGGTTTCAAAAGACTCGTTTTAAGGCTCGTTCTCCCTCTTCACAAATTTTGTCTCATGGGATTAAATTCTGTTCTAAGTTAATTAAACAATAAAGTGGTCTTCAGTGTACTACAGACTCTCTGCTGTTCCAGAATCACATGCCATCTTCTTAATATTTGTACTGCTTTTTAAAGCTCCGGCTGGTATTCGTGTACTAAAGGGCAGCTAATCACACAAAGCAAACCTGAATTTCCATCCTAACCACATCTGGGACCCTTCAAAAAAATCCACAGGTACATTAAGGGAAGGGCAGGAGTTCATTAAGAGAGTACGATCTATTCCAGGTAAGGCAGATGCCTGTAACACCAAAACGGCAAGCAAAAATTCAACAGGAGAAGGCTTTTCCTTGGATAAGTATAGGGGTACTACACCTGTTAGATTCTTGCTTGTCAGCACCTCTACAATGCACAAAAAGCCAGTGTTAATAAGACTAAGGCGGCAAAGCCTAGAAGGCAAAAGCTGCTGTCCCAGAGGAGAACCTTTACCCAAGAGAACAAGAGCAAGTGGTAGCAGCAGTACATGGCAGGTCTCTCCAGCCAGGGGCGGATTGAGGCTCACTTGGTGCCCCCCCCCTCCTTTTGCGCATCACTCAACTGAACACGCTTCATTTTTTACGTTTACATGGGGCTGAAATTAAAAAGGGGCAGAGAGGGTCATTGAACTGAATTTGGCTCCGCCATTTTAATTTTACACACATGCATTTTACTTTTAAACATAGCCTATGACACTGCACCTCACCAACAAAAAATAGAAGATAACCCTAGGGTGCGCCATGATCAATTTGCACTAGTTTTATCAATTTCTTCTTTTTTTTTGTTTTACAAATCTTCATTCGTTTTTTTTCTTTTCACCCTTTCCCCCAACTTTGTGGTGCCCCCTTTGGCCCTGGCGCCCTAAGCACGTGCTTCGTCTCCTTCATGGTGAATCCGCCCCTGTCTCCAGCCTTGGCAGAGCCTGAGTGTCGAGGGACGAAGAGAGACCTGAGAAGTGCCCTTAAGGGCAGTGTTCCCTCTAAGATGAGTTGGTGTGAGCCAGCTCACAGTTTTTTAGCCTCCGGCTCACACATTTTCATCTCGGCTCAGGAAGGAGGGCTCCAAAGGCAAACTGATTCACGGCAGCAGCCAACTCGCTCGCTCACAACTTTGGTGCCGGGAGCTCACCAAGAAGATTTTTTTGTTCACAGACTCCACAGCTGAGAGGGAGCCTTGCTTAAGGGCAGGGGTGGATTACGGCTCACTGGTGCCCTAAGCACTGACCGATCTTGGAGCCCCCCCCCGATCTTGGTGTCATAGCCTATGGACACGGCACCTGGCCAACAAAAAAATAGAAGAGAACCCTCGGGTGCACCATGATCAATGTGCACCAGTTTTATCAATTTGGGTTTTTTTTACAAATCTTCGTTTTTCTTCTTCTTTTCACCCTTTTCCCCAACTTTGTGGTGCCCCCTTTGGCCCTGGTGCCCTAAGCATGTGCTTAGTCTGCTTCATGGTGAATCCGCCCCTGTCTCCAGCCTTGGCAGAGCCTGAGTGTCGAGGGACGAAGAGAGACCTGAGAAGTGCCCTTAAGGGCAGTGTTCCCTCTAAGATGAGTTGGTGTGAGCCAGCTCACAGTTTTTTAGCCTCCGGCTCACACATTTTCATCTTGGCTCAGGAAGGAGGGCTCCAAAGGCAAACTGATTCACGCAGCAGGCAAATCGCTCGCTCACAACTTTAGTGCCGGGAGCTCACCAAGAAGATTTTTTTGTTCACAGACTCCACAGCTGAGAGGGAGCCTTGCTTAAGGGCAGGGGTGGATTACGGCTCACTGGTGCCCTAAGCACTGACCGATCTTGGAGCCCCCGATCTTGGTGTCATAGCCTATGGACACGGCACCTCGCCAACAAAAAACAGAAGATAACCCTCGGGTGCACCATGATCAATGTGCACTAGGTAAAGTAAAGGTAAAGGTTCCCTTGCTGGAAAGCCAGTCGAGTCCGACTCCAGGGTTGCGGTGCTCATCTCCGTTTCCAAGCCGAAGAGCCAGCGCTGTCCGAAGACGTTTCCGTGGTCCTGTGGCCGACATGGCTAAACACCAAGGCGCACGGAACGCTGTGACCTTCCCACCGAAGTGGTCCCTATTGATCTACTTGCAATGTCTTGCTTTCGAGCTGCTCGGTTGGCAGGAGCTGGAACTAGAGACGGGAGCTCACTCCGTCATGCGGCGCACTCGGGTCTCGAAGTACACTAGTTTTATCAATTTGGTTTTTTTTACAACTCTTCGTTCTTTTCCTTCTTCTTCCCAGCCTTTCCCCAACTTTGTGGTGCCCCCTCAAAAGAGGGGGGCGGCGGCGGCGGCGGCGGCGGGAAATGGGGTTCGTGCGCCGTCCCCACGGCTTCAGCCGGCCTCCGTGTCATCGCCTTCCCCCGGAGTAGCCTAGAGACCTAGAAGTGCGCGCTTTGGCTTCATGGCACGCTGCAGAGCAGTGTTCCCTCTAAGCTGAGTTAGTGTGAGCTAGCCCACCGTTTGTTAGCCTCTGGCTCACAGATTTTTGTCTCCGCTCAGGAAGGAGGGCTCCAGAGCAAACTAATTTATGCAGCAGCCAAATCGCTGGCTCACAACTTTAATGCCAGTGGCTCACCAAGTAGAATTTTTGCTCACAAGACTCCACAGCTTAGAGGGAACATTGCTGCAGAGAGATGGCCAGGAGATCAAGACCGGAGAGAAGCCCGTGGGGGATCAGGCCCAGTGTTCCCTCTAAGCTCCTTCCCCGCGGCGCGTACCTTGAAGGAGAAGACGAGGGCCATGAAGCCGAGGCAACAGGCGTTCAGGAAGGCGAAGTTGAAGAGCGACCAGGTCACGTAGTCCCGAGGCTGCCGCGCGGGGAAGGCGGCGGTGGCGGCCACCGGGTAGGTGGTGTAGGGGGGCGCGGACATGCCCCGGTCCTTCGCGTCGTCGGGCTGCATGCTGAAGCTGACGGGCTGCGGAGCGGACTGCATCCTTCTCGTCCTTCTCCTCCTCGACGGCGGCGGCGGCGCGGGCTGAGCGAGCGGAGCGGGAGGGCCGAGGGCCGGCGGAGGGGCCGCCAGAAGGGGAAGGAGGGGCGGGGGCGGGGAGGGCTCCTGGCGCGGCGGCCGAGAAACGAAACGCAGCTCCGGACTGAGGGCGTGACTTGAGGAACTGGGGCGAAACGGGGACTCTCCCCGGCCCCCTCCTCGCCACGCTTCCGCGGAAAGGAAACTTATTCCTCTCGCCCCCCCCCCCCGCCCCCCCCCAACTACAAGGACGTGCACAGTCACAGAG